GAAACAGCTTTTCAAAGTCTCGCGGATATGCAACACCCCTTGCTATGCTCTTCTCATTGCCCTGGTGTCTGGCTGCTCAAAAATGGCTGCCATGCGATCTGTCTCAACTGCCCACTGCTGCGGAAATTTTTTCCCCTTTTTGCACAGATATTATGGAGCACACAGCAGGCAGCTATAACCATGGGGATGTTCTCCTCACTAAGGCCCAACCTTGTTAGTAGACTTCTCCAGCGCCCTTTCAAGCAATCAAAGGCACATTCAACCACCATTCTGCACTTGCTGAGCCTATAGTTGAACCATTCCTTACTGCTATCCAGACGGCTGGTGCATGGCTTTATGAGCCATGGGAGCAAGGGGTAGACTGGGTCCCCCAGGATAACTATTGGCATCTCAACGTTGTCAGTGTTAATTTTGTGGTCTGGAAAGGAAGTCCCGGATTGCAGCTTTTTGAACAGACCCGAGTTCCTAAAGATGCATACGTCATGAACCTTTCCCAACCATCCTACGTTGATGTCGGTGAAATGCTCCCTTTGATCCACCAGCGCTTGCAACACCATTGAAAAGTATCCCTTTCGGTTTATGTATTCCTTGGCAAGGTGGTCTGGTGCCATGATGGGGATATGCATGCCATCTATCACCCCACTGCAATTAGGGAACCCCATCATGGAAAAACCATCCACTATGTCGTGCACATTGCCCAGACTTACTACCCTTCATAGCAGAAATCGATTAATGGCTCTGCACACTTGGAGCACAGCAGCTCCCATGGTTGATTTATCTACTCCAAATTGATTCCCCACTGATCGGCAACTGTCTGTCGTTGCAAGCGTCCAAATAGCGATTGCCACTCGCTTCTCCATTGTCAGAGCAGCTCTCATTTTTATGTTGCTGAACTGCAGGGCAAGGGAAAGCTCTGCACAAAGTTCCTGGAAGGTGGCCTTCCGCATTCGAAAGTTCTGCAGCCACTGCTCGTCATCCCATACCCGCAAAACAATGCGGTCCCACCTGTCAGTGCTTGTTTCACAGGACCAGAAACGGTGCTCAACAGAGTGCAGCTGCTCAGTGACTGCCATCAGTAACGGTGGATTGTTTTTTTCGGTGGCTTGCAGCAGGGCTGCTTGCAGGACATTGCTATGTTCCACACGGCGGACCCTACTTTGGCTCTGGAAATACTGCAGGAGAAGGCATGAGGTGTTTGAGATGCTCACAGCAAGAGTGCACAGCTGAGACGGCTCCATGCTTCTGGGGTTATGGCGTACGCACAGCAGTTTTAAGTCGCGAAAACCACTGGGTTGTTTGCTATTGATGTGTGGGAGGGAGCACAGTGCATCATGGGATGTTGATGCAATGTTTCCATTCTCCCCTGTGACAATGTTTTGGTCTCATGGGGCATTGCACAAACTTCCCAAAACACCCTGCGGCAAGTTGCATTTTGGGATAGCTACCCATGATGCACTGCTTTGTGCATCGAAGCAGGTGCTGCTAGTGAGGACGCACTCTATCAAGACAATGAGCATGGTGTGGCCATGCACAATCAACTTCATTAATTCAGGGGCTCAAGGTCGAATTAGATAAAGTCGACTTAATTTTGTAGTGTAGACAATCCCTAAGTCTGGGATGAATCAGACCACTTGGGCCAGATGTGAAAGGTATTTGGATGCCTAAAGATTCACCTTGGTTCCTACTGGTATTTTCAGAAATGCCTAGGTGCCTAATTCCCATTGATTTCAAGACACCCCATCTTCGATTCTTTTTTCCTGTGCCTTGAAGAGAGAGTTTACTTATTTACAAACACAAGCAAAAAAATAAGGTTGAGGAATTCTTAGAGAAGTTTATAATAACATATATTTTTGTGATCAGGTGGGCTGAAATTGAGAAGTCGTCCCCCGTCCCCCCCCCATCCTTGCCTCCCAGTGCCCCTGATGGTCAGCCTTATCTTCATCAGTGTATGAAGTATTGAATTGACTGAAAAAGTACTTGGTACAAGTCTTTAGTTTCCATTGCTACTTCTGAGTTTAGGGTTATAAATATTTTTCTTGGGTTCCAAGGTTTAGATGCCCTATTTGATTATTTTGAGTTTAAAATTAGATTTATTGAATAAAATCCTAGCCTCACTAAGTCACTGGGTGTTTTTCCATTGACTACAGTGATGCCAGGATTTCACCGATCATCCATAATGTTGTATGACACAGAGAGAGAAGGGTAATAATCTGAAAAGAATATTAATAAACGTTAAGAAAAAATAGATGTGAAGACTAAATAAAAGAACACCAAAGGATCCTTGTTGCTGTGCTAACTAGACTAGACAATATATTGTTTCATAGGAAAGTTTCAATCCTAGAAAATGTTTACCAATATCTGCACTATGCATGTTCTGGATATCCCTGAAGACTTGGAGTGGAAGGACCTAAGTAATTTTATGTCCAAAAATATGTTAATGAAGTTAATCTTCTACTTAAAATATCAAGCTGTCCTGTATCCCAAATAGGGACTATCTTGCAATTCTTTCAGCAAAATCTTTGACACTTACAGTGATCTTTACTATCATCTGTTTATTGAGAGAGGTTAATATGCCAGGTGGGGGGGAGCTAATATTTTTTTCAAAATGAATTTTGAGATGTATCAAAAAGCACACTTGCTTGGAGAAAGAAGTTATTGCTTTTAAGAGCCAAGTATGTCTTTAGGTTTAAACCTGTTTTATTTCCATCTAAATTTTGTCTTAACAGTTTTTATTATCTTTATCTGTTATTTTTATTGTTAATTTGGTATTTATATCATAGTGGCACCCAAAAGCTCTGGTCAAAAGTAGGGCCCTCTTGTGCTAGGTGTTGTACAGACAGAGAAAGAGATGCAACCCCTGCTTCCAGAGAACTTTCTGTTCTAAGGTTTTAATGAAGCTAAGGCTATTCTAGCTAGGCAGTTGACTACTAAGGATACTGTGAGCTTGATATTGAAGATGAGTTATCAAGCCCATTGGTACTGTAATTTAATGAACCTTTAATTCATTTATAGACTTTGCTCTTTGTAGTTGTGAAATTGTTACAGATAACTGACACTCTGTACCTTAAAATAGCACCGTGGAACCCCCATATTTACCTCTGTGATATGATTATGATATGTTTTGTACAAAGTATGCCTAGTGAGGTATCACTTGAAAAATCATGATTTGTTGAGCATTACTACCCTGTTGAATTATATGCATTATCACTGTATATGGAGTTATGAGATTTTGCAATATGGTTATTATTGAAATATGTTGTGAGTCTAGGAGACACCCACAACTAGCTCTCCAGTGGCAACAAGGGAGGTGGCCCACACCCAGACAGGTGTTAAGCGACCACCACTAGCCATTGACCATCAGGGGAATTGTAAACAAGAGATTTACAATTCAATAAGAGACAGTTGCTCAAGCTCTACACAATGGGGATTGCTTACCTCCGTGACTCAGCAAGGTATCAGGAGATGTGATGCAGTGTGACCTTGGGCAAGTCACTTAGGTCCCAGTTCAGCAAGGAAGGTACCTTATGGAAATACTCACGTGTTTAAACTTAGGCGCATGCTTAAGTACCTTGCTGAACTAGTGCCTATGACTCCCTGTGCCTCAGTTCCCCATCTGTAAAATAAGAATAATAATACTTTTTCTCCCACCCTTTGTCTGCTCTGATTAGATTGTAAGCTGTTCAGGGCAGGGGCTGCCTCTAACTAAATCTGTTAGTACAGGATTTTTTTTAGCATAATTGGGCCCCAGACTGGAGACCTTTAGCCACTACTGTAATACAAATTGTAAAAATTCTATATGGGCTTGTGTCAATAGTTACTGATCTGCTGAAACTATAAATGCAATTTTTTAAAAATCGTGAATTCACTCATCTTGAATGGATGTGGTAGAACTAATATATTGTTCCACTTGTAGTAAATATGCATATCTGTAGCTAAACCTGCCTACATGCATGTTCCTATTCTTCTCCCCCACCTCCACTGTAAGGTGGCCTGTTACAAGAAATGTAAGCAGATGTTGATTCCTGCCATGATGGAGGCATGCTGGCCTGCCACTTGGGTAATGTGAGTGGATTCTGGTTGGTGATTTGCCAGTTGAAAGATCTGTGGAACGTGTCATGTCAGCAACTTGCTCATTCTCTTTGGAAAAAAACTGTATGCCAATTGTCAACTTTGATCTGAGTAACAGACCAAAACATCTCAGGAATCAGCCGCAAAAGCAGCTGCTCAACCATGCTACCATGTGGATGAACAACATTTGAAGGCATCTGATTGCATTTGGGAGGGGGGAGAGGCTAACAAGCTTCGAAAAGATCAAGCTCAAAAGCTTTGTGAGTTTGCATAGCTGCACTTAGGGAATTCTTAACCACAGTTGTCATGATTAAGGTGTTGCATGGAGACTAACCATGTCACAAGAGGACTAAAACTAATTCAGGCTTTTCTTCTCTTCTCCCAAAAGAGTCATAAAGTGGAAACATTTTCATAAAATATTTTCTTGATGAGTCCTTCACTGCCACCCATAGCTAAAATCAGAGCTATTTCTTGCTTGGGGGCTGAGAACTGGAGTGGGAGACCAGGGTTTCATTCCCCACTCTGCAACTAGCTCTTTGTGTGTCTTTGTGCCAATTAATTTGCCCATCTGTGAAATGGAAATAATGATTACTATCCAACTTCGAGATGCTTACTCAACCTTTGAAACCCTCAGCTGAAAAGCATTATAAAAATATGAAGTGTTGTTATATATGTCACTGCTTTCACTGAGTGTTCCTGATGATCCTAACCTTTTAAAATGTCCCCTTCTCTGTCACAGCCCTCAAACTCCATTGACCGAGAACTCAACAGTTGAGGGGTTTTTTCAGAGCTAGTTCTTGGTGCTAAACTGCCTAGTAAGGGTTGTGATAGCATAAAGTAATACATTTATGAGTGCACACGTTGGTGCCAGGTGTGCAGTTGGCGTGTTGGTCTGAGTAGCCCAATGACAATGCATTTTATTTTTTACCTAGTGGAGAGACATCGAAAGAAGAAGATCAATGCTGGGATAAACCGAATTGGAGAGCTCATTCCATGTTCCCCAGCACTTAAGCAAGTAAGTGGACATTTAAATGTGCACAGCTATTTCCCAAATGGTGTTCATTTGGTCCTGGTTCTAAGCAGCTGTAAATACACAGGGATACATCTTGCTTCAGTTTTTATGCAGGAGGCGCAATGAGGTTTGATACACTCAAGGAAACCTGGATGAAAATCTTATTTACAAAGTTCTCTATGATGGAAATGCCCTTGGAAATTACAGGACAATTTGAATGCAGTTCTTTGAAACATGAATCTCCCAGCTGACTGGGAATTCGGTATCACTCTGAAGGAGTGGTCTGGGTTTGACATATGAAAGACATTCTCCTCCATCAGGTGTCCTAGTTCACGTATTTGGCTCTTTGGAGCAGATATTTTTGAAAAGCATTTGCCCAGCTAGCATTAGTGACCCTGCACTGGCAATGTGAATTCAAGGACTGTGAGAACAGAGGGAGCAGGCTGTGTAGAATCATCTGCAGAAAGGTTATGATTGTTTTTTTTTCTCATTTAAACGTGTAACTTTGGAAGCTGGTTTGCTTGCCCATACTCTTCTAGTCAGTCTGGTTGTACCTACTTAGGAGTTGATTCACAATTCCCCCAAGCTGTAGTTGTTAGACTGTTTTCCTGTTGACACTGCTAAGTGTATTCTGTCATGATGCTCTCTTTTATGCATAAGTGAAGAAAGTTATAGACTGTGAGAGAGGAATTTTCTGTTGACTCTTCTTCCCCGTGCCTGCCCCTTTCATGTTTTCACTCAGTGTCCTGCTATATGATGCAAATACAATTCTATATATTTTTATTTTTAGTCTTTTATTGAAATAGTTGTGAAGTAGCTTATTGCGTTAAATAATAATGGTGAAGGGAAACAAAGAGGTCTAGGTAAGGGGAGAAGTGTTTGTGTGAGATATGAAATGATATAGATCAGAGGTGGGCAAACTATGGCCCACGGGCCACATCCGGCCCATGGGACCCTCCTGCCCGGCCCCTGAGCTCCTGCCCTGGGAGGCTAGCCCCCAGCCCTTCCCCTGCTGTTCCCTCTCCCCCGCAGCCTCAGCTCACTCCGCTGCCGGCACAATGCTCTGGGCGGTGGGGCTGCAAGCTCCTGGGACAGCGCAGCTGCAGAGTCCTGTCTGACCCGGTGTCTGTGCTGCGCAGTGGCATGGCTGGCTCCAGCTGGGCGGCGGGGCTGCCTGTCCTGATGCTCTGGGCGGCACGGCTGTAGCGCCGCCAGCCACCGGTGCTCCAGGCAGCATGGTAAGGGAGCAGGGGGGTGGTTGGATAGAGGGCAGGGCAGTTCGGGGTGGTGGTCAGGAGGCAGGGGTGTGGATAGGGGGCGGGGTGGTCAGAGGGTGGGGAACAGGGGGGTTGAATGGAGGCAGCGATCCCGGGAGGGGCAGTCAGGAATGAGAGGGAGGGCTGGATGGGGCAGCAGGGGGCAGTCAGGGGCAGGGGCTCTGGGGGTGGTCAGGGGACAGGGCGAAGGGGTGGTTGGATCACCTCAGACCAGCAGAATCCTGGAAATTATAAACGGGGTTTTCTATCCAAATCCAGTCCCTTCTTAGCCTCCACTCTCCTTCACCCTTCCTTTTCAGGGACCCTTCTCATGAGATACTGTTAAAACAGGAGTTGCGCTCCCTTCTGGAAGAGGTCCCCTTCAGATTCAGAGATCAGAGGTGCTACTCCCATTATTGTTTAGGCCCAAGGAAAAGGGAGACAGGCATTTTAGACTTGAGACATCTCATCAGATTCATCCTCACTGCAGGTTCAGGGTGGTAACCCTGAACGTATCCTTTTGTAGCAGCCTTATCATCCCAGAGCACCCCAGTGGCTTTTTTCTAGTGGTCTCCTGCATTCAGGCCCAGCCCTCTAGTCAGATTCTTCTAAAGTCCCACCCCTTCCTGGGCAATAATGTCCATCAAGTTCAAGCCTCAAATTCAAAGTGCAGGAGTCTCTATCAATACAGGGACCTGCCCTTTGGTTTCTCCACCACACTGACAGTATTCACCAAGTATCTAAAGGTCATTGCACCCCACATAAGAGGACATGGCATTCTGGTATAGCCATACCTGGATGGATGACTGATCCAGGTAAAATCATCTCAGAAGTTGACCAACTTGATTTGTATGATTTTAGGGATTTTTACCACACTGGGGCTCAAGATTAACAAAGAAAAATTCACACTTTTACTGATCTAAAGCATATAATTCATTGGAGCTGTGTTAGTTCTGAGGTCAGCTATCTCATGTAGGAGAGGTTCCAGATTATAATGGGTCTCCTCAGTCATCTGCAGGCTCACCCAGAGATGTCTGCAAGAGCATGCCTTAGAATCCTGGGTCACATGGCCTCCTGCATCAATGTCACACAGCATACCAGACTATCCAGCAGGTATTTATCCACCACATGGCTGTGAAGTTCCCATGAGAAGTCCTCTCCTCATTGGATTGGTGGAAGGATCTGCTTCACGTGTGCAATGGAGTACTCTTTTCTGCACCTCTGCCTACCAAGATCCAAGATGCTTACTGGGATGAGGAGCTCATCTGGACTAACTTCAAACATAAAGCCTCTGGGTCCGTCCCCACCGCCTGTTCCTCCGTGGAAGCTCACCTTATCATAAATGTCCTGAAACTCACGGCACTATTCAGAGTAGCAGCCGTGTTAGTCTGTATCCGCAAAAAGAACAAGAGTACTTGTCTCTAAGGTGCCACAAGTACTCTTGTTCTTTTTTCAGGGCAGTATGTCTAGCATGAATGGCATTTCTGCTCTTGTTACAGGGATCTACGTTCCAGGTGATGATAGACAACACCACAGCCATGCATTATGTCAACAGACAAGGGAAGAGCATGGTCATGTCCACTCTGCCAAGAAACCATCTGTCGCTGTGGCTGGTGCATTTATTATCAAATCACATCAGAGGCTCTGCATCTTCCAGGCTTGCAAAATGCTCTAGTAGATCAGATCAGCAGAGAATTCACAGCCAACCACGAGTAGACTGACAAAGACTCAGTTCTACCAAGCATCTTTCACAGATGGGGGTGCCCAAAAATAAATCTGTTTGCCACTGACCAGAACAAGAAATGCCATGCATTCTGTTCTAGAGAGAGTTCGAGCCTAGGCTCCCAGTTGGGTGCCATCGTCGTCTCATGGGCACCAGCGTTCATGTATTCCTACCTTCAATCCCGTTAATACCAAGTGTTCTGAGAAAACTCAGACAAGATTCAGCCCAACTTGACCCAGACAATTCTGGTACTCAGATCTGGTGAACATGTCAACATAGCCTCTGATTTTATTACCTACTCTACCTAATTTGGTTTTGCAAAATGGAGGTCAGATTTTATGGCCAGATCCAGCATGATTACATTTGACAGCCTGGGTGCTGTCAGATTAACTGCCTGCAGAAGAAACTGTTCAGCTGAAATCCAGGGCATTTTGGTATATAGCATTTTGGTATGCAGCAAAGTGGAAGCAGTTTTCTATTTGGGCAGGATAATGTCTCCTGACTCACATGAAAGCCCCTGTTTCTGCTATTCTGGACTATCTACTAGCACTAGAACATTCAAAACTATCTATCAGCTCCATAAGAGTACTTTTAGCAATACCTGCACATCATCTTCCAATTCAGGGTCATACCATATTATCCCACACTATAGTTGTTTGATTCTTCGAGGATTTCATTCATATGTTTCCTTCAGCCCTCCCCTTCCTGGGATCTCAACATAGTGTTAATTGGTTTAAAGGGGCACCCCTTTTGAGTCCCTAACAACCTGCTCTTTTTACCCTCTATCTATGAAGTTTGCCTTTTTAGTAGCCATAACATCAGCTTGTAGAATAGGGAAAATTCAGACCCTTCCAAGTGGTCTACCTTACTCAGTGTTCCATAAAGGTGTGGTGACTCTTAGGCCTCACCCCAAGTTTCTGCCCAATGTTGTTTCAGATTTTCATTTAAATCAGTTGATTCACCTCCCAGTTTTTTTTCCCGTGCCTCGCTCAAACCAGGGAGTTCCCCCCCCCCCCGTCCTGGTTCGCTTCGTTTGACCCTTTGACCTCACTCCTGTCCCTGTTCTTTTATTAGTTGTCCCCCGTAATTTTTTTGGTCTCCAGGCCTTAGGCTGGGGGGGGATCCTTTAGCAGTGGGCGGGCAAAGCCACTTCCTGGATCCCAATAGGTCAAACCAGGGAGAAACCAAACCTGCACATTCTTTGTTGTGGTCAGGGCTCTTTCATAGTACCTGGACATAGTAGAAGATCCTTCAGAAGCTTCCCCATGCTCTTCGTAGCCTTCGGAGATAGGGTTAAAGGTCAAGCTGTTATCACTGAAAAGTCGTCTAACTGTATTATATCATTTAGAGATCCGTCCACCAGGGTTTAGACAGCTTCTGCTTCTTCTCAGAGAAGCACCTGTATTTCAGAAATGTGCAGGGTGGCTACATGGGGATCAGTCCATACTTTTATCCAATATTATTCCTTTGTTGAGACTTCAAGATCAGATGCCTGCTTTGACAGAACTGTCCCGAAATCCTTATTTAAATAGGACTCCAAGCACCCACCTTCTAACTATGAGATCACTGCTTGCAAGCCACAGAACTGGCATCCATCTGGACAATCACTCTAAAAACAGTTACTTTAACTTACAAGATGTGTTGTTCACTTGGATTCCATGACCCACCCTCCTTCCCTGCTTCTACAGAGTCCTATGGCTGTAGGATGAGTAGCAGCCGTGTTAGTCTGTATCCGCAAAAAGAAGAACAGGAGTACTTGTGGCACCTTAGAGACTAACAAATTTATTAGAGCATAAGCTTTCGTGGACTAC